CTGTCTCTTCCGAGTGATCAGTCAATGGAAATGAAAAAAAGGACAGCCGGAGAAGAATTCAATCGACGGAGTTTTCTCTTTACATGAAGTCGTAATCATCAAGAGCATCGTAAGGATCGACGCCCAGATCTTCATCGGGTTTGTCCACATGCAACTGTTTCTTCTTCCCACCTGCAACCACCATTCCGCCAAAAGTTGATATAGATCGATCTCAAAGACAGAAGAGTAACAAACGATATTTGAAAGACAGTAAAATATAACTGCATTCCGGCACAGGCTTATAACGGGTCAAGCCAAACCGGACCCAAAAAATCTGAGTCTCTGAGATCGCGACAAGCTGGGTCGGGCCCGGCTCGTTCTACACTCCCTAATCCCGAAACTATTTGAGAACAAGGAAACAATGAAGGGTAAGAACGTACCTGGCTTCTTTTTACCAGCAGCCTCTTTCTCAGCCTTTAGTTTCTCGTTTGCTATGGCTGTGATGGATGAAGCCACATCTTTAACGTCTGCTGCTTTCACGTTTGTCAGTGAAAGTCTCATCACTACCTTGAGTAACCCAACGTAGTGATAGCTTTTCTGCATCGTAAAGTGAAATTGAATATGTCGAAAAGATATTTTATTGAATACTCAAACTATAAAATATGATAAGGAGAGACTACAAACAACACACCTCAAACGATCTAAGCTTATGAGAAATCAGCTCAGCATATTCCAAGAAGTCACTCTCTGACTTGGGGATAAAAGTATCGAGGTCTTTCTCATTGCCCCCTTTCTTTCCAAAAAGTTCAGCAGTTGATCGGTAATCTGCTTCTTCTATAAGCCTATGACAACAAGAAGGAAAATAAATAAGGAAGTGCATGCCTTTATAATCATTTGCAGCATACTTCTCGTTCAAATCAATCCATTCCACGAGCAAAGACCATGAAAAGAGATGGAGATTACCTTTGCTGGCGTAGTTTCTCAGCAAGAGGATCTAGCGGTTCTTCCTTTGGTGCTTCGGCTGCTTTACCCTTCTTGTCAGTTCCTTTAGCAGCTGCTTTCTTGGGAGCCTTCTCGGGAGCAGCCTTTACAACAGGTGGCTACACAAACAAAAAATTAAAAATTGCACAATAAAAATAAGAAAATAACACAGTGATGCAACCAAGAAGAAAGATACCGAACAAACAAATCATTGATTCATTACAAAACAATACCAAGTGATCCTACTGGAATCCCAAAATCCAATGGTGCATATGTGCTGAAAGCGAAAAGAGTTTTTGAATGCAAGAAACTTATACCGGAGCGGGATCATCGTCATCCTCCCACGATTCCTTGATATCAGACTCATCCACATCCTCATCATCCCAACTATTTTTAGGCTCAGCTTTTACGGGAAGGGGTGGAATTTGCTCATCTTCTGAAATCAGAGAAGGGAAACATTTAGGCAACAATTACCCAACACAATTTACATATTTAAAAGCAGTCCAATATAAAGATGGAAATCCATCAATATATTAAAGAACATGACTCGAATAAATGTCTTACGCAACCTATATTCTTTGCAGAAACATATACATCATGCCTAAGAGACAACGAATAAGCCTTACCCCAGTCCTCCATATTTCTTGGCAAAATTCACTAGCTGCTCCGAAACCGAATGAACACCTGCACAGGAATATCTATCAACATTACAACCACCCACCCTATAAAAAGATACCTTCCTATATCTTCATGGTTATGCTTAGATATAAAATCTTTCATCATCGTTTTTTTTTCTGTAAGTCTCTGAAATGCTGCAGAAATCTTATGCTTGACCATTTACTAATGATCCATATATCAATAAGACTAGATCTGTTTATGAATTCACAATCAAAGATTACAGTGCTGGAAAACTTCACAGCAAAAATCCACAGTAGATACTCCAGGCAGGTGATTTCATACGAGTTCAGAGTTTCGCAATAGCAACCATTTGAAAATTGATTATCTAAAAAACGTACAGCCAAAAACCCTACTGGGCAGACACATACACAAATCGATTAAACAGAGACTCAAACACGGGAAAGCAATTATTTTTCGAGTAAACGGAGCCAACCCATCGAAGATCTAGATGCGAATTAGACTTAAAAATCCATAAAACTTATCAAGCCGAAATGATCTATGTGGAAAAAAAAATACCCAGTCGAAGGAGGAAGGAGACTCGTACTATGAGTAGCCGAATCCAGTGAGTTCAGCGGTTTAAATTCACGATGTGAATGATCGTAATCGACGAGGGCGGTAGAGATCGATGTGCACGGCTTTGGTCTATTAGGGTTTTTTCTTTTTCTTTTTTTTTTTCTCTGTCGTTTGAGTTTTCTTCTGCACCGCTTTTTTTTCCCAAAAAACAAAAAAGGGAAAAATATGCCGCCGGGAAAATAATGAGAGGAAAGTTCTCGAACTTATCATGACCAGTTTCGCAAATAGACCCAAGCTATATCAAATTCTCAAAATTTTCCTTAACTTCTAAAATTGCAGCCATAACCCCAAGACTCAGAGGAAAAAATGTGTTTATATTAGATATGTTTACATAACACGAGACAATAACAAACATACCTAACAAACGATTTAAGCGATATTAATGACTTGAAAAAAAAAATTGTTATTTGAATCCACTATTTTATGACGTCGAATATGGATAATTGTTTATTAAAATTGAGAAAACAGTTAAGAAGAGGTACGAAATTCTTTTTCCTGTTCAAATTCTAGAGTCGGGTGGGCACAAATACCCGAAATTGGGGTATCCGACGATCCGTCGGATACTCGTCTTGCGGATATCCGATTTTAGGGTACTCGTAATTTTCAAATCCAAATCCAAATCTGAATTTTCAATATCCGTGAATCTGAATCTAAATCTGAATAATAGAGTTTTTAAAATCGGTTACCCGAATAGTATGATTATAAATAATTATATCTTATATTTATATAATATTTTTATAAAATATAATTGTTTTAGGTTAAATATTTTCATATTTTTAAATATTATCTAAAAAAACTAAATTTATTATTATTTATATCTTATTATCTCATATTTTTATCGTAATTCATCCATTTTTATAAATATATTTTTATTTTTTGAAAATTTTATATATAATTATTATTGTTTTTTTAAATAAATTCGGATCCGGATACCAGCGAATATCCGACCATTATTTTGGATACTCGTACTCCGATATTCGTAATCCCAAATATCGGATATAAGTATTATAATTAAATATCTGAGTCTTCCAGATCTAAATCTAAATACCCCGATTTTCTCGGATATCCGACCTATGTCCACCTCTATTCGAGACTCAATGAACCAAAATTTAGATATGTAATTCTCATTTAGAGTTGTCATTGTGAATTAGACTCACTACACGTTCATGTGTAAGTTCACAATTTGTATTTAATTACATACATTTAACTATAATTAACATATCACACGCGATTATCGATAATCGATAATGAAAATTGGATTTGTAAACCAGAATTAGAGTTTGAATGAATGTAAATTTTTGAAGTTTTTAGAATTTAAAAAAAAAAGAATTTTACAATCAAGATTTTATAAGTTTAGTTTCTCTAAGAATTCGAAAAACTATTTTAGTAAAAAAATCAACTAAAAACCAAAAAACCAAAAACTAAAATATAAAGCAAAAAACCAAGACCAAAAAATGAAAATAAAAACTACTAACATTGATTAAAAAAAAAAATTCTCTGCAAATACTAACTCACCCTTAATCGTTTTTAAAAAATTCTTAAGTTAGCTTTAATTATTTAATTACAAAAAATACAAATAACTTTGGATAAGAACTAATCCCCCCCTACTCTTTCACCAAGCCTTTTCCTTCCTTAGTCTCCTCCTTGTGAGCCCGAATCCGAGACCTAAGAACTACCATCAATTCTACACTATCATCACAGGATTCGTGTATGTACCAAAAAAAAAAAAAACAGAGGGAGCAACAGGAAGATTCCATCGGAACCTTCGAATAGCTTTAAAGAGCAGCGTGGTTGATCCAGGACTCAGAACCCTTGGCCTCTAGATCACAATAGCGTAATCCTTGAAATAGCTTTATCAGTATAAAGATTGGAAGAGTAACATGGTAAGAACCATAAGCTCAGACAATGACAAGACCGGTGTGTGATGAACTGACCAACCCTTAAGAAGAACATCCTACAAAGATGCTTCTCTTCTGACAAGGCTGGTTTAGCTTGACCCATGATACGATTCTCATGACATCACCATTGATTCCTCACTACCTTTGGTAAACTACAAAATGATTCTAATAACAGCAAAATGCATGATGCTCCCAAATTTAGATAGTCTAACCGATAAAACCACATGATGCTTCCAAATTTAGATAGTCTAACCGATAAAACCGAGATGTTATCGGAATGCAAAACATGTATCTCGTCCTGAGTTCGAACCTCAAATTTAGGAAGAGAAAGAACGTATAATCCAAACGAGAAAGGTTCTGGGATTAGTTATACCATTATTATCCAAAAAAGAAAAGAAATTTCATTAAAAAAAAAGGATTAGACGCTGTCTACTAGCAGTTGCGCTTTTTACCTTTCTCATGGAAACAACAAAGCAAAAACTTGGAACAGAGATAACAAAAACCCATCTGTGTACATCTTAGATGAAGTTAAGGTACAATGAATTCTGCATCAAACTGGAATGTGAAAGAAGGAACAAACAGGGTATCTGAACTGTGTGTTTCGACAGTTAATTACTGGGTTTGGATTTGTGTATTAGCAAGATGAACTGGGTTAAACAATCTAAATGCTCCATTTTTCTCGCTATCATCAAGTTACAGAAATCACAATCTCTGATGCTTTAGAGACCACAAAAACCCTAACCTTCAAATTCATAAGGCGAAGCTCTTGAGGAAATCAGGGTCACGCTTCGCCTTCTCCTGGAATTTCTTGAACCACCGATCCAAAATATCCATGGGAACCACCAATCTGCTCCCGTCGATGCCGCAGAACGACTGCATGAAATTGAACAGATTCTCGCCCACCCTCATCGCCAGCCGCTCGATCCTCCTCTCCGCTGCCACGTCCAGAGACGGCAGGGCCCCCGTAATCCAAACGAGAAAGGTTCTGGGATTAGTTATACCATTATTATCCAAAAAAGAAAAGAAATTTCATTAAAAAAAAAGGATTAGACGCTGTCTACTAGCAGTTGCGCTTTTTACCTTTCTCATGGAAACAACAAAGCAAAAACTTGGAACAGAGATAACAAAAACCCATCTGTGTACATCTTAGATGAAGTTAAGGTACAATGAATTCTGCATCAAACTGGAATGTGAAAGAAGGAACAAACAGGGTATCTGAACTGTGTGTTTCGACAGTTAATTACTGGGTTTGGATTTGTGTATTAGCAAGATGAACTGGGTTAAACAATCTAAATGCTCCATTTTTCTCGCTATCATCAAGTTACAGAAATCACAATCTCTGATGCTTTAGAGACCACAAAAACCCTAACCTTCAAATTCATAAGGCGAAGCTCTTGAGGAAATCAGGGTCACGCTTCGCCTTCTCCTGGAATTTCTTGAACCACCGATCCAAAATATCCATGGGAACCACCAATCTGCTCCCGTCGATGCCGCAGAACGACTGCATGAAATTGAACAGATTCTCGCCCACCCTCATCGCCAGCCGCTCGATCCTCCTCTCCGCTGCCACGTCCAGAGACGGCAGCGCCGCCGCGTCCTCCACCGAAATCCCGATCTTTGCCGACAGCGGCGCCGCGTCCGCCGCCATCAGCTGCAGCTGCTCCGCCGCCCCGCCCGGCTCCGGCCACTGGAGCGAGAGCACCGCCGATGGACGGGCCAGAGTTACGGCACCGCAGAAGACGAACGCCGATCCCGGAGACTGGACGTAGATGGCGAGGGCTTTGTCCGGCGGGAGAGTGAAATTATTGAGGAGGAAGATGCACATCTCGCGGATTTGGTCGTATGCCTCTCCTGCTCACGTTAGAGACAAGGGTGCTAAAGTGAGCCGATTTCGGCGCACATGAGAGAGGGATCCGGCAGGAGAGGCTAAAATGCGCCGGGAGGGTCAGAGAGAGGGATACTTACCGACGAAGTGGTTCATGTCGAGGACCCAGTGGAAGGTATCGATCTGGACGAAGTTGGAGATGTCCATCGGGAAACTCCGATTCGGAAACACGACGCCGAACATGTTTTTTTTTTTGCAGTTCGGTTTTTTTTCCTCGTGGTCGAGTGTTCATGTCTGTGCGGTATTTACGAGGAAGACGAGTATTGGTCTGGTGTCCCTCCGACTGAGATAGAAGGTTCGCAAGTGGTGGGGAAGAATCCAGAACATTTCAGAGAAAAACTCATGAAAAAAATGGGAAAATGTAAATGGAATTTTAAAAAAAAAAAATAGAATTATACATTTTATAAGATATTTTACAAACGAAGAGAACACAAAACACCTGTTTTGATAGAAGGAAGAAGCACCAAAGAGACACAGATGATGAAATATACATGAAAACAAAAGATAAAATAAGGTGGGGCGAAATAACAGATCAATGCGAAATAACAAATATAGTTGTGAAAATTGTAAAAAATTAATCCAATATAAATTCATAAAACAGTACATGCTTTAATTAACTTTTTCTTTTTTAATACGCAATCATTAGTAAGTTGAATAGGATGTGTTCATGTAATCATCTCCCTTGCCAAAATCGATTCACCTAACCAAGATTTAAATATCTAATTTTCACAGAAATGGACCTAAGAACCCACGCTGCCATGTATGACAGTCCATAAATAATGGGCCTATAATATGATGGGCTTAGGCCCATTAATAGTGAGTGGGCCTCACAGTAGCTGTAATGCCCATTATTTCGTTTTAAACGGTTGATATACTTATCATTATAGACAGAGACTTTCTTAGAAAGAAGCAAACCCTAACAAATGTTGGTAGATGATGAAATCACAAAAAAAAAAAAAAAAAAAAAAAAAAAAACCCAATCCCTCTGTACATAAAAAATAGTTGTAGGGCTAAGACAAGCCAGGTTTTTAGAAAAAAAAAAGAAAATTAAAAAAAAAGGGAGAAGGGGAGAGAATTCATCGGAGCTTCAAAGTAAGATCCAGCACAGAGTTCTCCATCTCCACCGGTTGCTTGACCTCCAAGAAAACCGCTTTTCCTTCTCCTCCTCCACCCCTACGGGCCGAGCTCTCGTTACCCGATTCCTCTCGTCTGAAACTCCCCGGCCAAATCAACTCAGCCTTGCCGTCCTCCACGAACAAGGGTACACAATTACGGAAATACCCCTGGTCGAACCTGGCTGCTGTCGTCGTCGTCATCAGCTCCTTGGGCCTTGCAAAGTCGCGGTGAGAAGACGAGTGAGCTTTGATACCGAGAGCCCTAAACGACATCGTGGCGGCACTGCCTCCGTGCAAGGGAAGGCAGGATATCGCGGAGTAGCCGTTGGCGTTTAAGATGCCTAGACCCATCCGCATCGCCCGTTTGACGAGCGTTCTCTCGCGTTTGTGAGCGTTTTGGTGACCTCCGAGAGCCTGGGAACTGAAGAACTTTCTCTGGCAGTAGTTGCAGGAGAAGACTCTCTTCGAACCAGAGGGTCGTTGTTGTTGTTGTTGTTCGGTCGTGTTGTTGCTGCTCTCGCTCGTGCTCGATAACGGAAGTCCTACTAGAGATGAAGATTCTTCTGGGTTTGCGCCACCGTTGTTGCTGAAACTGAGACTCAGATTCAGAGAGATTTCTGGGTCTGATGATGAGTTGCAGATTGCTCTGAAATCATCGCCGACGACGGCGAAGGTTCCTTGAACGGACAAGTTCGAAGCTACTCGACTGCTTGTGTCTGAATGGCCGTTTTCTGACGAAGCTTCGACTTCCAGGTCGATTATCGGTTTCATGATTCTGTGTCGGAGGATGTGCCCGTTGGTTTTGGTTATGGAGATTTTCTGTTCCTATTTCCCCGGAGATTCTGATTCAGTACCGCCTGCAAAAGAGTTTATTTAATTTAATTCCGCTTTTAAAAACATTTACGCTCTGGTGAATCTGCTTAACAACGATCCATATATACATTTTATTGGCGACATAAGATTAAAGATTCTTGATTCTTAAAAGGTTACAAATTCGAGAAAAGAGAAACAGAGAGATATTTCCATAAAAGATACTGAAGTTCATAAATTTTTTAAATAAATATATGTTTTTTTTTTTGTTTCATATAAACTTTCAAATAAAACATTTCTATAATTATATAAATTTTCAGATAACTTCAATGTATTCAATTTTAACTTTTAAGATATATATTTACAGCCATTTAACGCAATTACTTTCAAAATGTAAATATTCCATCCTCGTTTAATGATCTTACTATTGTAGTGGAAATCCGGTGATATTAGAAAGTTTACACATTTAATTTATAGGGTATCCAACGTTTGCCGTTAAAGAGCTGAACAAAAGCTGCCGACACCAAACATGGAAAAATGCGTCCAGAAACGTTTTAGGGTTTTTCAATTCTATCTAAATTAATGGTCCAAATCATCATGAATACGCAAGTTTGGCTTCAAATATAAACTTATGATTTACTATAAAAAAAAAAAAAAGCAATTCTCCATAACCATTTATTAAAAATTATGAAAGTTTACACTAGAAGCTATATATTAATATTCTAGAAGTTACATATAAATATGTTAAATATTTGTGTCGACATGAATATATGTATGCACCGGCATACATATATATGAACCTCAACGAATTTGTGTATGATAATCAAATCGTTTTTTCCCCAAAAAAAATTGAGGGTTTCGTCGGTATTCAGAATAAAAAAAAAAGAGAACAACAAAAATACCCAAAAATAAAAATACGGAAAGGGAAAACGAAGTTGTTTTGAGGATTCGCACGTCCATACCTTATGATAGTATTAGGGTTTGAGAGCTAAGACTTGGAGGAAGGAAGGTTCCGATCCTCTTTGTAGCTCCAAACGGGGACTTTTTGACATCGAAAACCATAATATGAAGGACAGAATTGAAGGGGCAAAAACATTAAGGAGAGAACTAATGGGGCAAAAACATGAAGGAAGAGAGAGAGAGAGAGAGAGAGAGAGAGAGATGGATTTGTGAGTGTGTTGTTGTGTGTGTGTGGTGGGTATAGTGTTTGATGTTTAATTATGGGAAAGCTAAGGAGCAGAGTGGGAGTGGGGGGGACAATGGTGGAACGTCACACGGATGTCAGAAACTAAAGCTAGTTTTTTTTAAAATAAAAATAAAAAAATGGGATAATTTTAACAATTGTCTCAATGATTATTCCTACCTTGTAATCTAGATTAAAAAAATATTAAGATTAAAATAATTTATTGGATTAGAAAAGAAGAAATTAGATAATTGAGTTTATTATATTTAAAATGTAAAATTCATTGATTTGAAGTAGTTAAATAAATTAAAAGTTTGAACTTTATAATATAGTAAAAATTGGTGTAAAAATTTTATAGACCAAAGTTGAATATCTATAGCATAAAAACGTGTAAAAAAAACAACACGCATGTACAAAAATGGATGCCAAATATATTTACGCTCAATGAAAATCAAAATGTTGTGCAAAATTTTGTAAGATATTTTTTTGGGTTTTAAACAAAAAAATTGAAAATATTTTGAATTTCCATTGTGTTTTAATTCACTTATTTTAGAATTTGATTTTATTTCAATGGTTTAAAACTTATATTGTAACGTATCGAAACCGTTACGAAACTTAGAAACTATCCTCGTAGAACAAGAGATCGTTCAGTACGTATATCGAAAAACACTTTTCAATATATCATCCAATTTTAAATTGCTCCACAATGAACACGTTTAATTTTAGAGTTTTTTCAGAATAGACAATCGAAAAGATAGATATATCTTGTTGGATATTTTATTTTGTAAGAGGCATTTTGAAAAATATGAAAATATGGAATCCTTATCTTTTGGTTAATATTATGTTGGTTGTTTTAAGCCTTGTTCAAACGCGCTCTTCTGAGACTTTGTAAAGTATTTTTCATTTATAAGATTCACCCTTTATAATAAAAAAATGGTGAAATATCCAACCGCAATTAAAAGAATTTTATGTAACAAATACGCACACGCGTATCTGTTTGTGTTATTGATATATCATGGCCGTTGCAACCTTCAAAATGACAGGATAGGTTTCAGTTAATTTTTTATTCCAAAAAGTTTGTATTGTGTGTGTGTGTGTGTGTGTGTATATATATATATATAAAAGGATTCACGTGAAGATGTATCTATTTGGGAAGACTGATGTGAGAGCTTAGAACAGGAATAAGTCACAAGTCTCGCACTGTCCAAAATTGAAGTAAGGATAGAGCATAACCATGTAGGACCCCGACAAACTAGTTCCTTGTTTTTCAGTCTCGATTCACATACATACATATATATATATATATATATTCATGTACGTATATTTTATTTTAAACATTCTTAAAACTCTATTTTTACGTGTTACTTTTGTATAAAAATTAACATCTATTGTGGAATAACATTAACTTGGACAATTAACCACACCTAAAGTTTTCTACTTGGAGAGTGGGAGATTCCATTGTCCCGAAAATAGATCATGAATTAGAATTAGAGAGATTTTGGTGTGGTACATGTTATAGGTTTATTTTTTTTTTTTTGCTAATCCGAAAGTTTACGACATATTTGACCCAATTATATCTACTAGAGTAACAGATAAATATGGGTGAATACCGCTTTCTACGCTTAGATTTCGATTTGAACGTGATAAGAATATGTTTTGAATGTTTTCTTAATATTAGATCACCCAAACTTAGATTTAAATTCATTTCTATGCAAATCAATTATTCTAAATACAAGTTAAAAAGATTTAACCATATCAATCTCTTGTTGTAAAAAAACGCATTAGTTATAAGATGATGTGAACTAGGACTAGGCACGGGTCGGGTACCCGCGATTTTGGAGATACCCGTCTTCGTCTCCATCTTCGCGGGTTTCATGAAAACAATGTCTCATTCTCTATCTCATTAACACCGGATATCCGTCGACCGGATACCCGTAATTAAGAGACGGACACTCATGGATACCCGTACCCGTAAAATATATATTTTTTAAATAAATATAAACCAAATATTTAGTAAAATTATATTATTTAATTTAAAAATATATTTAAAATATATATATATATCTTTGAATATATATAAATTTTTAAAAGTTTTTAAAATATATATGTTAATTTTTAAAAGTTAAAACCTAATATTTAAATAAATAATTAAAAAAATATAGAAATATTTGATATTTTTATATATTTACGGGTATCTACGAGTACCCGTTGTCATAAAAATGAAACCCGTATCCGTCTTCGTTGTCATTTTTATGTATCCGTCTTCGTTTTCATTCAGGGATGAGTACCCGTTTTTCGGGTATCCACGAGATCGGGTATCCGCAAACCTGCGGATAACGGGTATAAATGCTCAGCCCTAATGTGAACCAGAATTCATATAATTCTATATTATGTAAATTTATATTCAGAGAAGTTACCAATAAATTAAACAACTTTTGATACATTTTTATAGAACCCAAACGAAAATAACAGATAACTATATAATTTGAGGATTGAATTTTTAATATAACGAAAATATTTAAGCAATTGCTTGGTCGGACTTACGCCTCGAACCATGAAATTAAAAAAAAAATGTAAATTAACAAGCCAATTTAGTTATCATGTCTTAGTATTCACATAGATATTCCATTCACGTTGAAAGAGATATTATATATATATACACACACACGTATATGTATCTATATATATATCATACCAACATATGTGCGGTCAAATCAAATACAACATTATATGCAGTGGTGTGAGTTCGGTATGTATTTGTGCAAAAATAGATTGAACCAAGGTGGTGGCAGCATCCCACAAAAAGGTTTTTTTTTTTTTTTTTTTTTTTCACGTTGAAAGAGATATTATATATATATACACACACACGTATATGTATCTATATATATATCATACCAACATATGTGCGGTCAAATCAAATACAACATTATATGCAGTGGTGTGAGTTCGGTATGTATTTGTGCAAAAATAGATTGAACCAAGGTGGTGGCAGCATCCCACAAAAAGGTTTTTTTTTTTTTTTTTTTTTTTCTTTTTATATATAAGTGAAGTAGCTCATCAGTGCACGGGGAGGGCATCTGAAAATGCTCTCTCTCTCTCGTTTTTATTTTTTATATTATTTTTTACATTTTGAAATTGTTTAACTCAATTGATTGACCTTTCCTATGCATCTGCAGCCTCTCATCCTCTTCTCCCCTCTTTGCCTTTTTCTATTTTATTATTATTTTTTTCCATGCCGAATCTCCTTTCCACCTTACATATATATCATTTGTAATCGACGGCTGTAGATTTTTTCTGGTTGGATATAACCATTTATTAGATAATTGATCAATCATATTAATCATCACTACAAGAAAAGTTAACAATTGCGACCGAAATATCTGTCACAACATGAAGACGAATCTGCCGGGAAAAAAAATTTACGACAGATTACGACAGATAATCCTCGGTCGCTAAATCGTTGTCGCAAAATCTGTGTGGTCGTGATTCTGTCGTAATTTTGCGACAGATGAGGCTGTAGGACTTCAGTCGCAACGTTACGACAGATAGTTTTGTGTCGGTAATCTGTCACAAATCGGTGAATCAGACCTGTCGCATATTGCGACAGAACGATGAGTAGGTATCTATCTCAAATAACGACAAAATATATCGGTAGGTATTCGATCGCAATGTAGTTGTGGAAGTTGTCGTTTCTGTCGCTATTTAGCGACAGATTAGACGGTCGCAATCTGTCGCAACTCTATTATATAATTTTTTTAAAAAGTATTAATAAATAATAATTATTTAAATTAAATTAAAATTTAAAAATTAATTTAAGAAATATAAAATTAAAAATATTTATTTAAAATTAAAAATTATTTATTAAATAAAAAGTATTTATTTAAAACAATAATTAAACAAAAAAAGTTATCCGGATTGTCTGATCCGGTTGTTTAGTCCGCCGGTGTCGTAGAAGGTCCGACTCCGGACTCAGACCGACTCTGGATTGAGGAGTCAGAAATGGGTTGAACGACATCTCTTGCGCCGTTGGTGGGTCGTCGTCACGAGGAGGAAATAGCCGGGCGAAAAGCGTCTCGTAACGCGCAATCCGTGCCTCAGCTTCTTCAAGTCTGGTAATCTTCATGCGATCGTCTTCGAACTCTTGAATCTTTTTCTTCAACAGTTCGACCTCCTTAGTGAGTGAGATATGGTGACCGATCGATGTTGCATTCGGATGACCACCACCCAACTCAGTCGCCATTGCACCGACGCCGTAGATACGTCCTTTGGCATCCGGTTGGACAACCTACGAAATAAAAAGTATACGTCAATTAAAATAATTTAATAAAAAAATTACATCAATATAAATTTACCTCCAGATAGAGAGTCTTGATTTCTGCTGGCAAAAGTTGGGTCGATCCACAACTCTCCTCTAATTGGGAGAGACAATCTGCGATCTTTACCTGAATCGCATCCTCGATTTCCTGAACGCGATCGCTGATATAAGTACCGTCAGCTTGACGGTGAGTCTCCTGTAGCAATCTCAACGCAGAAGGTTCTTCACCTTTCTTCTGCATCTGCACCCAAAAAATTTAATTAAAAAAAATTCAAAAAAATTTAAATTAATTTTTTATTTACTTACTATCTCATGGGCGACTCGAGCAAATGATCTCCGTCCTGCAGTGTGGGTCGGGGGTGCGCGTTCGATCTCTGCTCGGGATCGTCGATTGCTTGAGAATGTTTGACTATTCTGCGTTCCTTCTTCTGAATCCCAATATTCAACTAGCTGATCGTAGATCGCCGTCGACATCCATGGAGGTCGTATGCGTCTGCTCTTTACCCGATAAATGTTGTCCTTGAGGCGATCTCGGACGGCGAGCCTCCAAGCGGCGTAAATCCCAATATTCAACTAGCTGATCGTAGATCGCCGTCGACATCCATGGAGGTCGTATGCGTCTGCTCTTTACCCGATAAATGTTGTCCTTGAGGCGATCTCGGACGGCGAGTCTCCAAGCGGCGTAGACTCGGTCATGAAC